CCTGGGCGCCCGGGTTCCCGAGTAGGGGCGAGCGGAAGGGCGCCGGGTGGGAGCGGGGCGGGGCCGTTTCTTCAGCCCCAGCTGCGGGTCCTTACCGCTTGCCCGCCCCGAGGGCTCTGAGTCCTTTTCATTGCCCCAGTCAGAAGCGGGGCTGGGAGAGAGTTTAGGTTTTCAAATTTTGGGTCCCATTGTCAGGTCACTTATTTCATTCCGATAATGTAGGGTTTGTGAGTTGTTTTTCTTTTTCTTTGGTACTGGGGGTCGAACTCAGGACCTTGCGCTTGCCAGGCAGGCAGCGGCACCACTGAGCTAAATCCCCGGCCCTCTGTTTTTTTTTTTTGTTGTTGTTGTTGTTTTGTTAAGCCTGTAGTCATCTGTGACATAGCATATATACACACGCACACGCGCACACACACCCCTATTTGAGGTCTGACGCCTTGACTGTTGAAGGATCTGTCCAAAATAAGGTTATGCGCCAGTATTGAAAAGGGATGGATAGACAGTTGTGCTGCCGCAGGTCCTTTACACTTGCTGTACTGGCCACCTGGATCTCTTTTCACACACATCTTTCCCTGTCTGCTTCTTTGCTCAGAAGTTACCTTCGTAAAGAGGCTTTACCAGACACCCTTCCCTCTTAGTTTCAGCCTCCTTGATCTACTGTATTTCTGCGTGGCTTGCGTGTCCTGAGATTAAGTTAAAAATATACCCACAAATACGATGTAAGGGGGCTTCAGGGCAGGACGTTTTCCATTTTACTCCAGTACCTGCAGCAGAGCCACACACATAGGATGTATTCAATATGTATTAGCAGAATGAGTGATTCTGATTGTTGCCTGTTAGGATGTGGCATGTGCTCTGCCCTTAGAGTGGGGCGGATTGTGAGAGTTAGAGATGACCCCATTTTGCAGGGCATGGGGAGTCACTGAGACATTGGGAGTTCTGGAGGGTTTTGAAATAAGATTAGGACTAATGCGGCTCTTCCACGTGTTCATTTTGGAGGAAATAATGTTAAGTAGCTGTTGTCAGCATAGTTTTAAGATTTTGAAAATGGCAAGCTTTATTTTTGTTGTGTGTAGGGGATTTTAAAGCTGAAGTGAAGAATCTTAACGTTTGAAAAATATTTTTTGACTCATTTTTTTCTTTTTCTTTCTCATACTGGGAATCGAACTCAGGACCTTGCACTTGCCAGGCAGATGTGCTACTGAGCTAAATCCCTGGTTCTGAAAAAGATTTTTAAAATACTGGTAAAATTGTCATACTTCTTCTCTCATTTGACTCATTTGAAATTTTATGAGAAGCAAAAAACATTAGTTTTCCCTGCAAAGAAATGTGCAGGACTTTAAGCTAATGGAAATTAATGGATCAAGTCCTTCTTATATAATGACTATTTGACAGTTAAGATACTGTTGTTACTATCGTGAATAGTGTGTGTAGCATAACATTTCTATTGGGGAGAAAATTCTCAGTTTAAAAGTCATTTCGAATGTTTGGAGAATTATCCTTGGATTTTCCTAAATGCAGAAATGATCTTGGGCCTCTCACTTTGGGACAATAAAGTTTCAGTCTTTGTGGTTGAATTCTTTTGGATCTCTTCCAGGATCACCAGGTCACCTTTCCTCCCCACCTTACCCCAATTTGAAAAGTATATTTTTTATTTTCTGTTTTCCTAATAGGTCCTGCTTATGAAAACAACACTTGATTTTTGCATTTTCCTTTGAATCCAGAAGTTTGCACACCTATTCTAGAAAATATGTTTTCAGCTTCTGGGCCCACAGGATTGAAATGAACAAAACAAATTTTAAATGGTTTATAGTGCTAAAGATATAATTTAAGTGTAAGTTTTTTATTTTTTTGTTTTTGTTTTTGTTTTTTTTTTTTGGTACCCGGAATCGAACTTGGGTCCTTGCACTTTCGAGGCAGGCAGCAGAACCACTGAGCCGAATCCCCAGCCCTGAAGATGTAATTTAAATTGTGTGATAGAGATAACATTGACTTAGATGAAGAATACAGTTTTGTTTGAAATGCAAAAGAAAATATGTAGTTAATAAGCTTAGTTTTGCAATTAAATATATCAAGAAAAAAGAGTATGGGCTGAGGATTTAGCTCAGTTTTGCCGCTGGTACTGGAGGTGGGTAGAGATCAGACAGATATCTACAAATACCAAGAAAAAAAAACTACAAGCTTACAGACCCAAAGGGCCAGGGATGTAGCTCAGTGGCACCATGTCTGCCTTGCAAAGCACAAGGTTCTGCGTTCAACCCCGCCAACCCCCCACGTGGGTGGGAGGGGAGACCCATTATTTGGTGCTATTGGCAGTGTTTTGAGCATCTCTTAAAATTAAATAATTTTAATATTAAACCATGTTTAACATCAGCCTAGAAAAGAGAAAAAGCATAAGAAGTCCTTTTTAATTTCTTCCCCAGTCTCAGCAACAAGAGTTCTGTGTAAACCATCTGTGGTAAATACCAGTGGCTAACAGATGAGAAGTTCTTACAGACCTTTGGCCACTTTATTTCAGTATTAACAGACAAACGGGCTTAGAGAGGTTAATGATCCAATTAGTAAATGGCAAAACCTAGATCTGGCTCCAAGTTGGGATGAGGTCTGATTTTTTTTTTTTTTTTGCACAGTGGGAGGATGGTTGTCTTAGTCACTTTCTTATCCCTGGGACAAAATACCCAACACTCACAATTTAAGAGGAGAGGTTTATTTTAGCTCATATTTTAGAAGTTTCAGTCCATGGTCAGCCAGCTCAAATGCAGACATGGCTTGGGGGGGAGGGCCTGTCAAGGAGAAAAGCTGCTTATCTCATGGTGCCCAGGAAGCAGAGAGAGCAAGGAGGCAGTGTAGTGGGAGCTCTGCTCTCCTAACGGTAAGTCAGCTAGCTGTAGGACCGCCCTGATGCAGTCACCTTACACATGCACACATGCGCAAGTCATTTGGGGGATAATCATAGCAGTGGTGGACACTGACTATAAAGGCCCTGGCCCAGGCTATGTTGTATGCTTGGCAGTTGCTGACCATGCTTGCCTCATAGCTTAGTATTCTGACCACAGAAAGAGTATCAAGACCTCCTGCTAGATCTTGCATTGCAGCTGGGGACCTTGTGTTGTGATTGGGGAGCCAATTTGGGGTTTTGGGTGAAGGTATGTGATACAATGTCGTGACTCCCTGCAGGACATTTCTACTTGGGTGTCCCTCAGCTACATGGATGCGACTGGAACATGAGTGGCTCATCTTTTCCACACACCTGCTCCTGTTTCTGAGGTCCCCATATTACAGAGAACTCCACTGTTTCCTCAAGTCCCCAAGGCAGAAAAACAGTCTTCCTGGCATAGTTGTCTTTTCTCAACATTGTTTCCCAGACCTCTCCCTAGCAGTTCCCAGTATTCTTGAATATCTTTTCACTCTTTCTTCTCTGAGTCAGCCTTAGAGAAGTTGTACAGGTTTTTTGCCTAGTGTGTAGCCGTACGTACCCTTACCTGGTTTTCTAGCCTAACACCAGTTTCTTTTGAAAGGGTGCCATGAAGCCTTTTTTGTAAACTCAGATAATTAACACTGGCTTGGTTTTCAGGGTGTACTGTAATTCCATCCACGTGCTTGGTGTAGCTCCTGCTCACATGCCTGGTTTTCCCTCAGACTTACTTCCATGTTGGGGAGGAACAGTTTGGGTTTTGCCATTGTTTCCTGTCCTCCATGCCCCTGCCTTTGCACATGCTGTGCCCTCTGCCTCAAACATATTCTCTACCTCTCCACACCTTACTCTTCCTCTAGCTTTGAGAGTTGGCTCAGATGTTCATATCTCATCTTTCATTAGGTTTGCTCTGACGCTGACCCTCCCTCCTCAGATTTCTGCTGTGTTCCCACCGTCCCCTTGTCAGTCCTGGTTCCTTGTACTTTTGCTCAGTACCTTGTTCATGGGACACTTAAATGATCCTCTATTGATTTTTTTAGTTAAATTTTAATTTTTAAATTAAAACAAGTGTACACAAAATGTAGGCAGCTTTGTCTCACTTTTATAAAGTGAGAATAAGTATCAGCATTTCATAAGTTAGCATTTCTTTTTAACTACACCTTAGGATAAAGAATCAGTGCTTTCTTACTTGAATCATGGATTATTTTATGTAACTGGTTACTCTTTCTGTTTTGATTTTTTTTTTTTTTAGGGTTTCTTAAATTTTTTAATTTAATTTTTTTTTGTCTTTCAAAGAAAGTTGAAGTTGGTGTTTTGTTTACAGTGCTAAGCTTAGAACCCAGTACCTCATGAATGCTAGACAAGTGCTGTACCATAGTTTCATACCCAGCCCTAAAGGAAATATTTTACTTCTTTTTTTTTTTTTTTTTTAATGGTACTGAGGACTGAACCTACGACTTTTGCACTAAGCTAAACCTTATCCCTTTTTTATTTTTATTTTGAGACAGGGTCTCACTAAGTTGCCCAGGCTAGGCTCAAATTTGTGATTCTCCTACTGCAACTTCCCAGAGTATGCTGATTTTCTTATATCTTTTATTTATAGTCATCATAATTCTCTTTTCACATCTGTGTGTCTTTTTGTTTAAACTTTTCTTTCCATTCTTGATTTTTGCCAATGAGTCAAGACTAAATATGAGTTCTTAAAGTTGAGTTCATTAGTATCATCATTATTATTTTTCTGTAGATGCTTCCATAGTTGGTGTTTTTGTTAACATGCCTTAGAGAAGTAGCATATTCATTTTCTGCTTATTTATGTTTCCTTATGGAACTTTATGACTGTCATTTGTATATTCCTTTTTGTATCTCTCTATAATGAAAATAGAAAAAACTTTTGTCTTATTTCATCAAGCATGTCAAATGAGATCAAATTAGGTATGGGTGGTCTTGGTTACTTGGTGGGGGTGCTGGGTGTTGAACCCCTAGGGCATTGTGTGTGCTTGGCAAGTGCTTTGCCACTGAGCTGCACTTCTGGTCAATCTAGGAAACATTTCTTTTGATTGGCATTTATTTATACCTCTTTTGAGCTGCTCTCTACTGGGAAGAATGTATGGCTTTTTAAGCTTTTACTCACTACTTGGTGGGTAGGCCAGTTACATGATAAACTTTTTTTGTTCTGTGTGATAAAATACATATAACAAAATTTACCACCTCTACCCTTTTAAAATCTATGGTCCTATATTGTTAAGTAGATTCACATAGTTTTCCAGTCAAAATTCAGAGAGTGTGTGTGTGTGTGTGTGTGTGTGTGTGTGTGTGTGTAGTCAGTGTGTCACTGAGGATTGAACCCGGGGGCACAGAGCAGATCCCTAGACCAGTTTATTTTGAGATAGTCGTGAAGTAGCACAGGCAGGTTTTAAGTTGCTGTCCTCCTGCCCCAGCCACCTGAGTAGCTAGGATTACAGGTGTGTAGCACCACACCCAACCTCTTGTGTGTTTAGCTGTGGTGTGGTATGAGTATATGCTAATGTCAGCTGATGCATTTATACAGTATTATATTTCATCATTTTATGAGAGGATAGTGTGTGTGTGTGTGTGTGTGTGTGTGTGTGTGTGTGAAATAGAAATGACCCAGCTGTGGTATTCAATGGCAATAGCTAGTTTTCACTGTCCCCAGGCACCTAAACCCTTTCCTAGAAGTAACCACCTTTCCTGGTTTCTAGTCAGTTGTGTGTATGTATTGATCCATTTATGTACACAGGCCTTGCTGTTCTTAATTTTTGCTTATATAAGCAGGGAAATGAGCATCCATATTACTAAAGCTTTAAGGATGTTCTTATTAAGATAGATCCCTAAAAGAATGGGATGAATTATATAATTTTTTTTTTTTTGTTAGTACCGGGGATTGAACTCAGGACCTTGTACTTGTGAGGAAAGTACAGCACCACTGAGCTAAATCCCTGGGCCCTATATACATATTTTTAAGGCTCTTGTTGCTTGCTATCAGACTCTGTGCAGAAGTATTATGCCAGTTTTCTGTTCCAGCAAAAGTGCATGCAATATGAGGAAGCATTTTAATGAATGACTTTTAGAAACCCCTGAATAAAGTTAACTGCATCTCTGTTTGTTGAAACCAGCTTCTTTATAGGTGGTTGTTATTTCTATTCTTTTCTCCTTCCTAAGAGGTTCTTTTAAATGTTTTCTTGGAGCCTCAAAGATGGAAATGACTGGCATGTCCCTGAAACGTGGGTATGTTGTGGTCAAAGATAACGACTGTGTGGGCCCAGCTGAGGAGATAAAAAAACAGAAGGTCTCGGAGTGCTGTGTGCCCAAAGATGGAGATGGGCTGGACAGTGACTGTCTACCCAGCAGTGAAACAGAGCCCAAGTCACCAGAAGTTTTCAGTGATGGGAAAGATAAAAAGAATTCCAGTGCCCAGCTGGAGGAAGAGGAAGATGGCTTTTCAGAGGAGGGAGAAGAGGAGGAAGCAGAGAGCTTTGCAGAGATGATGAAGCATGGGCTCACTGAGCTTGATGTGGGCATCACCAAGTTTGTAAGTTCTCATCAAGGATTCTCAGGAATCTTAAAAGAAAGGTATGTTTAGTTTATGTATAAGGTTATTTAATTGCATTAGTTTTTTTCTTTGGAAAAAAATCAGTAATACTGTTTTCTATTTAGCTTTTTTTTTCTTTGTACCGGGATTGAACTCAGGCCCCTGCGCTTACAAAGCAGGCAGTGGAACCACTGAACTAAATCCCCAGCTCTCTATTTAGCTTTCTAGCCCCAAGGATCAATTACACTTATGGTTAGAGAGGAATAGGATAGAGAACTGCCTAAATGGCTGAATGATCTGATTGCTTAACTGATTAATTAATGGACTGAGAGAGATAAGGTCTGGCTTTGTCTTTCTGGCTGTCCTTGAACTCTGTAGTTTAGAGGCTAGCCTCAAACTCATAGTGATCTTTCTGCCTTAGCCTTCCAGGTGATGGGATTATAGGGGTGCACCACCATGCCCAATTACATTTTTTAATATTTTAAATAGAAATCATAACCAGCTATATCAAAGGAAGAGCCCTTCCAGAACTAAATATATAAAAATAATTTCCCAGTGACATGAATTGTTACTGTGCAGATGGATGCTGTTCATTTTGTTAAATTCTTTTGAATGGTTTGAAGTTTTCTCCTGAATTCCTCTATTTACAATCTTGAAACTCTCTCACTTGAGTGTACCACATCTGAAGTAGAAAAAAGGTAGTCTTTGGAGCCAAATGAATCTGGCTATAAATCTAGCTCAGCCATTTAATAATACCTAACTCTGAGCCTGGCTATCCACATCCAAAAAATGAATCAGGGTACCATGGTGGAGCTGTTGAAAGGATCATAAATAATATGTGTAAAGTATTTAATAGCGTAAGCTTCAGGGTAGCTCACAGCAGACTCACTGGGTTCTGATTTAATTAGCCATTTACTGTACTTTATATAGATTCTATTCCATATGGACTATTTGATCTCAAGCTAACATTAATAAGCTTTTATTTATATATTTTGTAGTAGTATTCTAGAATATTCTAGAAGCTTCTGGTATAAAACCTGAACTAAGCCATGAGAGATGGCACATATCTGTAATTCCAGCCGTGCAGGAGACTGAAGTGGGAGGATTGTAAGTTTGAGGCCTGCATGGGCAACATAATGAGACCTTTTCTCAAAGTAAAGGGAGGGACCTAGTTTAATCCCTAGTACTAACTAGGTCGGGGAAAAATACCAGAAAACCTGAACTGGATGTGGCGTAGCATTCATTAAAAACCAAAAACTTAATATGACTTTACACTGAAGATTGCTTCTAAAAACCCTTGTACTGGTGATGAGCCTTATCCTAAAATTAATAAGTAAAATGTCAATTCTCTGAAACTTTGTGTTTTCTTTTTATCAGATACTCTGACTTCATTGTTCATGAAATCGGAAAAGATGGGCAGATCAGCCATCTGGATGACTTGTCTGTTCCAGTGGATGAGGAGGTAGAAGTAGCTCTCTAGCAGAAGTTACTTTTTGTGTAGAAATAGCATTTCCAAGAGTTTGTGTCTTTGAATTATGTGTGACTCACATAATGTGGTTAATTTAAAGGATCCTTCAGAAGATGTTTTTTCGGTTTTGACAACTGAAGAAAAACAGCAATTGGAGGAACTTCAGCTTTTTAAAAATAAAGAAACAAGTGTTGCCATTGAGGTAAGTAGTGCAAAAGACATATCAAAGTTATATCGTCTTTTATGTGAATGTTAATAAGTGTCCAGCTTGATGTGGTGCACCCCTATAATCCCAGTGTTCAGGGGACTGAGGCAGGAGGATCACCATGAGTTCAAGGCTAGTCTGAACTACATAGACTGTCTCAAAAAAAAAAGAAGAAAAAGATTGTCCATTAAAAAATTACAGCGTTTGAGCTGGAGATAAAGCACAGTGGCACCACACCTGCCTTGCAAGCTCAAGGTCCTGAGTTTGATCCCCGGTACCAAAAAAAAAAAATTTACAGTGTTTAACAAAAGTGTGTCTTTGACCTGTTTGATGTGAAAAGACATTGTCCTGTTCTCGTTTTGGCAGCACATACACTAAAATTGGAATGATGCAGAGAAGATTAGCATTGCCCCTGTGCAAGGATGACATGCAAATTTGTGAAGTGTTCCATATTGTTAAAGGTGCAAAGGGGAAGGGAAAGTGGGAAGGGTAGGGGAAAAGAAAGACGGGCATGGAATTGGCATCTTTTTTTTCTTTTTAGTAATGGCGATCAAACTCGGGACCTTGTGCTTATGATGCAAGTGGCAGAACCACTTGAGCTAAATCCCGGCCCAGGAATGGATTTAATATGAGCAGAAGAAAAAATGGAAATAAAGTCTTTGTAGATAGGGAGGAGAGGAGGGATTGAAGTGAGGGCAGGAGAATGGGGAAAAAATAAGAACCAAGAGGGATTGTATAAAGTTGCAAATTTCCAATGATGAACATCATTATATCATGTACCTTAAATGTACCAATAAAATTAATTAAAAAAAAAAAAAAAAAAGAAAAGGCATTGTACTAACTAATGTATTTTTTTCAGGGGCAGGGAACCAGTATCCAAAGTATAGCAAAAGAGGGGCCAGGGATTTAGCTCTGTGGTTCTGCTGCCTCTCTTGCAAGCGCAAGGCCCTGAGTTCGATCCCCAGTACCAAAAAAAAAACGCAAAGTATAGCAAAAGAGAACATTATGTTTATTTTTATGGCCATAATTCAGGAATGAAATCTGTTGTTTAGAACCATAGAATGACAGTTCTTTTGCTGCAGTGGGACAGAGGCATGGCCCTGGTCAGGAGACTTCTGCACCTTCTCTGTCTCCAGTGGGAGGGAAGACATAGGCACAACCACTGAGCCGCACCCTTGGGCCCAGATTTTTAAGTTTCTCGTGTCCTTGTTTTTTTAACTAAAAAAAATGTTTTTTATGTTCACTGGGGGCCACTGGTACAAGGGCATAACACATCTTAATCCTTGTTCTTTTTCATTTTTTGGTACCTGGGATCGAACTTGGGCCCTTGTGCTTTACGAGGAAAGTGACAGAAACACTAAGCTAAATTCCCAGTACTTTTTATTTTTCTTAAATCCTTTCAAGTATCAATGTCTCTTTGAAAAGTTAAAAAAAACAGTTCCACAGTATATTTTATTTACTTTAATACATTTGAAGTACTACCCTTTTAATATGTAATCAATATTTTAAAATTACTGAGATGCTTTACCTTCCTCTTTTTCCTACTAAGTCTTCAAAATCCAGTGTTATTTTTACACTAATACCACATCTTAGTTCAAAGCAGCCACATTACAGGTCCTCCATGGCTGATGGTTGACTTCCTAGGTGGGACAGCTCCATGTTGTTTCTCTGGATTAACAGGAAAAAAAATTTTTTTTTTTTAGATAGGGTCTCACTATGTAGTTGAGACTGCCCTGGAACTCACTACCTAGCCCAGGCTGGCCTCGAACTCACAGCGATCCTCCTGCCTCAGCCTCCTGAGTGCTAGGATTATAGGTGTGCGCCACCACGCCTGGCTAGCAGAAAATTTTTAGAATTTTAAGTTTATATTAATTTAATATTTTGTACAGTTTCAGGGGATTGGATTAGTTTTGTTTTTTGAGTCAGAGTCTCGCTATGTAGTTCAGGCTGGATTTTAACTTGCTATGTAGCCCAGGCTCTCCTTGAACTCTTCAGCTATATCTCTGCTTCAGCCTCCAGAATACTGGGATCAGTATACCACATGCCTGCCTAAAGTATTGAACCTAGGGCCTTAACACTGAACTACACCCATCCCTTTAAATTTTTTTTTAAATTTTGAGACACTTAATTAAATTCTCAGTCACTTAATTTAACTGATTAGGTTGAAACTTATGGTCCTCCTGCCTCAGCCTAAGATGTGAGTCATCATGCCCAGCTAAGTTTTGACTTTTAAAGGGCATAAACTATGAACAGATTTCCTTATCTATAAAGTGAGAAGGAAGGACTTTCTGGATTTTTGATATCTAAATATATACTTTAATATACAAACTATTATTCTAACTCATTATTAGCAGTTTCAGTTCTAGACCTACCTGTTGATATAAAGTCATTTGTAGTTAGGGTGCAGTTTGTTTTCCTTTTAATTTTTAACTTACTGAAGTACTGTCAGGTTTTTTTAGCCAGTAATAGTTGTAGTCTATCTTGGTGTTTTTAGCATGAACCCTGCCCATTAGTAGGCCTTGTAATCAAGTTAGTGGTTATCACGATCAGCATTTTTTAATGGAATAAATAAAATAGAAAATACCCATGCATTGAATATAGCATCAGCCTGGTTTGTTTGTGGTACTAAAGACTGAGCCCAGGATGTTTGTGTGCAGCTACATCCCCATCCCTTTTTAATCTTGAAACAAGGTTTCACTAAGTCTCTAAATTGTCCATCCCGGACAATTTGCACTCCTCCTGTTTCAGCTTCCCAGAGTGCTGAGATTGTAGGGTTGACACAACCATACTCAGTGTAAAACTTTTAAAAATACTTTACACACCCATTTGAGCTATTGAGTAGTAGAGTTTTTAAATATGAGATGCCCTCTAAAATTGAAAAAGTTGTGTAATAAGTATACATTTTATGTTGATTTTTCATTGTGAACCGTTATGCTAGAATCTCACTATAAAATTATTTAGAATAAAATCTAGCATCAAGCTGGGCATGGTGGCGCACACCAGTAATCCAAGGTCGCAGAAGGCTGAAGCAAGAGGATTGCTGTGAGTTCTAGGCTATCATGGGCTACTTACTGACATTAAGGCCAGTTAACTGCATAGTAAGACCCTGTCTCAAAAAACCAAAGAACAAAATATAATTCAGCATGAGGCAGTTACAGACAAGACTGCTCACAGGATTGAGTATGTGTCTGGCCCAGGGCGTGGTGTGCCTCTGTTTTATTTGCAAGCCCCAAGACCTTTGCCCAGCAGAGGCTCCAAAAGAACATCTGGGGCTGGTGGCCCTGAGTCCAGTAGCTTGGCTTCAAATCCAGTTCCCTCCAACTCTGCAGCCTTAGACACATCCCATGACTTTTCAGCCTATCTGTGAATAGAGACATCGGTGGTGTGGCAGGGAGAGTGTGAGGATCCCATATAATAGTGACTGAAGTGCTTGTTATGGGGCTGGCATAAAGACGTGCTCCATCAGCGGGCCCTTAGAATTTGCCATCTCCTGAAGCTCTAAAATAGTCTGAAACTGTACCCAGCCACTTTTGCTGTTTAGCTTACTAAAACAGATGAGCTTTGTTTTTGCTAATCCACTGTCATTTGGCTAATGTTTATTAAAGTAGAAGTGTCACTGTTTTTAATAGGTCATTGAGGACACCAAAGAGAAGAGAACTATCATCCATCAAGCCATAAAGTCTCTGTTTCCTGGATTAGAGACAAAAACAGAGGACCGAGCAGGGAGGAAATACATCGTAGCCTACCATGCAGCTGGGAAAAAGGCCTTGGCAAGTAAGTGCATCAGTGCTCGCTTTCTCTAGCAGCAGAGTGACGTGTGATGTGCTGCAGCAGGACGCAGGCCCACTCCTCCTCTGCCTGGCTACCCCTCCATGGCTACTGTGCTGTTGTGCAGAGAAGTGCACGGACCATGTCACTCCTTCAGAGAGGGTGCGTGTTGTCATTTCAGATGCCAGAGCCATCCACAGCCTCCATATGGTGGGGGCATCCATCCTTCTCTGTGAGTAAGATGTGTGGAAATGGGGGTGGTGCCTGAGAGTTAGGAGAGTGACGCATTCCCTAAAGGGCAGAATGGCTGAGTTGCAATTCAAGAAGGAAATGGAAGGATTGTTGCTCATCTGTGTTCTTAATGGAGGAGAGAAAGCTTTCAGATGAATAAAAATGCACATCACTTATCCCAAGGGTATAATCAGCTCCTACTTCTGTTTTCTGGTTCTGAGTATCATTTTTTTTTTTTTTTTTTTTTTTTGAGACAGGCTCTCACTATGTAGTTGAGACTGACCTGGAACTCACTATGTAGCCCAGGCTGGTCTCGAACTCACAGCGATCCTCCTGCCTCAGCCTCCTGAGTGCTGGGATTACAGGTGTGCACCACCATGCCTGCCCTTGATCAGCATCTTCTTTACTCACACAGAAAAATATATGAAATATTTAGAAAGGTGACCCCTCACCTGAGCACATCTGTCCCTGTATTGTTCGTTTACGAATTACTGAGATATTTATGTTCTTATGTGCTTTCTACAGCTATGAAAATTTCTGTTTGTATTTAAGCTTAAGAAAAGCTAGGTAATGTTGCTTCTCTTTTCTATTAAATCAGCAGACAATGTTTTATTTTCTGCTGTACTGGGGATCAAACCCAAGGGTACTCTGCCAGTAAGCTATGTCCTCAGCCTCTTATCATTTTCCTTATCCTCCTCCTCCTCTACCAGTAATGATTCCTGGTAGTAATCAATTATATTTGTTAGAAAAGAACTCCAAGGCTGTATAACAAGATTAATTAATCCATTAGGGTTCTGTCAGTATTCTTTTAGGTTAATTTAAAAGGTAATACTGTAAATGAATGAAGCTTTATTTATTTTTTATTTACTTATTTTGGGGTTTTGAGACAGGGTCTTGCTATGTAGCACAGGCTAGCCTCAAATTTGTGGTAATCTTCCTGCCTCAGCCTCCTGAATGCTAGGACTACAGGTGTGTAATACCATGCCTAGCTTTAAAGCCTTGTCTACAACCATGAGATTGTAGGAAAAAAGGTAGCAGGAGTAAGATTAACTAAGCCCAAGAAAATCATCTTCAGAAATGAGAAGCCTTGAGCAGTTGGGGAGGAGGAGATGCAGTTTGGAGACCACTGCTCCTAAGGAAAACTGTGATGATGTGTTGTGCAGTGCTTGGGGTACAAGCTGTTCACTCCTCAGTCTGCAAACTGATGGTTAGTGTGTGTGTCCTTATTACCGGGGCCACAGAATAGAATCACACCTGATACAGCCTTTCTGCAGCCAGGTTTGCTGGAGAGCAGTAAGCCCTGTGGGAATCAGTTTTGGGGACTTGCCCTGGATGGCTCACATCCGGAGTCCTGCTGGGAAGGCTGGAGGGAGGTCTCTGCTAGGGAGGCCACCTTGCTGTACTGCAGTGTGTCAGTTTTGTTTTGAAATGGTTGCTTCTTAGAAACGATCTTCATTTTTTAGGGGATACCAGGTCTGGGTGGCGGGATTGCAGGAAAAGGTGGCCCAGAGTTTTGGCCCTCTGCCTTTTTTTCTTTTTTGGTACCACGGTCAAACTTGGGTACTTGAAGGCAGGCAGTAGAACCAGTGAGCTAAATCCCCAGCTACCCTCTTTTTTTTTTCCCCCTTTTACTTTCCATTCCAGAGATTTTTATTACCTTTATTTTTAAAATATTAGTACGTTTGCCATACATAATCATCCCATTCATCATGTGAAATTTGTACATATATATATATATATATATATCTTAATTTTTTTTCCCATTCCCCTCCCTTCAACCCTTCTATTCCCCATTTGCAAAAGCTGTTTCCATTTTTTTCCTTCCATTCTTTTTTTTTTCTAATCCCTTTCTCCAGCCAGGCATGTTGGCACCTATAATACCAGCACTCAGGAGACTGGGGCAGGAGGTTTGCCATAGGTTCAAGACAAACTTGGGCTACATAGTGTGTTCAAAGGCCAGCCTGGACTACCCGGGGAGACTCTCAAAAAAATTAATTAATTAAAATCCCTTTCCCCTTTCTTCCTTTCTCCCTACCCTTCCCTTGTTCCCCTTCCCATTTGAACAAGTTCTTCCTTTTTCCTAGTATCTATCCTCTATTATGCTCCTCCTTTACCCTTTGGGCTCTGCACATAAGAGAAGAAATGTAACATTTAAATGTGTGTCTGATTTATTTTACTTAAGATTATTGTGTGAAGATGTATCCATTTACCTAAAAATATCTCAAGTTTATCCTTTTTTACAGCAGAGTAGTATCCATTACACATGAATACATTTTCTGTATCTGTTCATCTGTTGATGGGTATGTGGGATGTTTCCAAAATAGCTATTAGTTGTGCTGCTGTAAACATGGGTATGCATGTCTCACACTGTAGTATGATTCTGGTTTTGTTTTGTTTTTTTGGTACCAGGGATCAAACTCGGGACATTGCATTTGTGAGGAAGGCGGTGCCACCACTGAGCTAAATCCCCATTGCAGTTTTTAGTTCTTTTTGAAGATAATAGCTGATGTCACATCTCTTGGGTTCTGTCTACAGCTGAATTTTCTGTTTATGCCACACCTCCTTTCATTTCCTTCAACACAAAAGTTTGATTTCATTAGACTTTTTTTTTTTTTTTTTTTTTTTTTTTTTTGGTTTTTTGGTTTTTTGAGACAGGGTCTCACTCTTTAGTTGAGACTGACTTGGAACTCACTATGTAGCCCAGGCTGGTCTCAAACTCACAGAGATCCTCCTCCCTCAGCCTCCTGAGTGCTGGGATTACAGGCGTGTGCCACCACACCCAGCTAAAAAGTTTCATTTCTTAAGATTTTCTAACAAGTACAATCCCTGGTACCAAAAAAGAAAAAAAAAGATTTTCTAACTGAAATGCAGACCTGTGTGATATGAGTCACTCTTCCCCATCTCCCTTTGGATATCTTCAGTAAGAGGAATTTCTCCTCTTAAAAAGCAGCACTCAGGCTGGGCAAATTGGGTCAGACATTTTGTAGAGCTCTAAACCTCTTGGGCACGAGGGAGGGCTCAGTGTTAGTCCCAGATGGGCCGAGCTCTTCCCTCCCACACCCTACAAGGGCAGCTCCTTAGTCCGCACAGTTGGGGGCCTTGCTTCCCTTTCCAGGGCTGTTTTCCTGCACAAGCTGAGAATGGCACATGTTAAGTACAGCTAGGAAAGGAGATGAGCTGATGCTGCGAGATTGCTGTAGAACCCAGTGGAGGTGTGGGCGCCTTGCCTGACTTTGAAGGTCTCAGTCCAGAGTGTTGCATTTTGTAATGTTGTCAAGATCATTTACTATCAAACCCTGATGTATATTGTTAGTGATGGGTTATGCTTGTTGAGCAGATTTGTGTTTGTTTTTTGATTTAAAAATTTTTATTAGTACATGTTTGTAATTCATACAGTTTATAGTCATCTTGGGGAGTGGTTATATGTATATATTATAGCTTGGGTTTTTTTTGTTGTTTTTTTCCTAATCCCCTTTCCATTTCCCCCTTCCTCCTCCTTCCCCACTTCTCCTCCAGTTCTCCCATCATCTTTTTCACACTTGTTGATACTATTTCTCTTCACTCATGTTATGGCATATAATGTTTAAATTGATTGGAGTTATTAGGATCTTGTACATGGCAACATCTCATTTCCCCTTCCTCTTGTCCTTGTTCCCTTAGACCACTTCCCTGTTGGTCAAGATCTGTCCCCTAGTCCCTTTCTATCCATTCTACGTCATTTTCTTTGTTTGTACTTTCCTTCACTCAAATGAAAATATCATATGGTATTTAAGCTTGTTTATCTAATTTATTTCACTCAATGTTATATTTCCTAGGTGCATCCATTTTCATACAAATGCCTCAAATTTGTCATTCTTTACAGCACAGTAGTGGTCCATTATATATAGATACAGTACCACATTTTGTGTATCCAGTCATCTGTTAATGGGTATACGGGCTTTTCTAATATTTAACTACTATGAATTGTGCTGCTGTAAACATTGGATTACAAGTATTGTTGTAGTGTGATGATGACAGTCTCTTTGGGGAAGATACTTAGAGAAATAGATGGGTCATGTGGAATTTCTAATTTCTATTCTTTGAGAAATCCCCAATTTTCCAGTGTATTCTTTTTTTGGTGGGGAGTATCAGGGATCGAACTCGGAACCTTGCATTTGCAAGGCAGGCAGTGGAACCACTGAGCTAAATCCCTAGCCCTTCCTCTGTATCTTAAAACATAGGTGTGGTATATTGTAAGTCATGGTGCCCAAATAAATAATCACCTATGTAGAGTCAAGCACTTTTTCTGTTTAAACCAGTCTGACGGGACTGGTACCAAAACATACTTATGTGGTAGTTTTCTGAAACCACCATATAACTATTACAGCATTACATAAGCAGGTAAATTAATTTACATTTTGAAATAGTACATATTCCAAATACTTCTGAGAACTTGTTTTTGAAAATTTAAGGTGTTTTTTTTTTAATTATGTTCTATGACAGATAACTGGTTCTCTACTTTTCAAAAGGAATGATTCCAGGAGGGATCCCTGGACCTAGAGGTCCACAGACTTGAGGAAGAGTCTGGCTGGTACAGAAAGGCTCTTGGGGGTGACTGGTGTTCCGGAATCCAGAGGACTAGGGAGCCCCTGTAATCACAGTGGTCAACAGTAGAAAATGCTGTAGAAAGGTCCAGAAAGATGGGAAATCTGAAATGGGTCCCTCAGTGTAGCAACATGGAAATTACTGGTGTTTTTTGCCAAAGCAGTTTCAGTGAGGTGCTGAGGTTGAAATCCATCCTACAGGGTGAGGTGAAAGGCAATATGTACAGGCGGCTTTTTCAGGTAAGTTTTAAAGAGGAGAAAGGAAGGGAACAGTAATTAGGGAGAGGAGGGCAAAGATTTGGCTTTTAAGATAGAAGGGCCTTGAGCATATTTATAAACTACAGTGAAAGAGCCGTTGGAAGGGGAGGGTGAAAATTCAGGAGAGCAATAAAATACTGATAATGGGTGTAGTAGTATCCCTGAGGAAGCTGAAAGGTTGGTGTGCAAGTGTGCTAGTGAGAAATACCGTGAATAGGAAGGCAAGAATGTGCTGCATGCTACCCTATTAGGTCATCCCTCGACTACACATTTTTCCTTTCTCACTATTTAAGGGCATCTCTGTACTTGATACGTGAATCTTCCTGAACCTGGCTTCCTTTTCTCTTAGACTGGGGCTGCCATGTCAGACCCTCAGGAAATAGAAGCAGTCTTTGAAAATAGGAATTATATTACCCAGCCTAAAAATGCTTTGCATTTGTATTGTGATCAGAATGTCTTAAAAACGTTTGAAAACTGTTTTAAGTTAATTTAAATGGTAAAATTAAGTATACGCATCTTACCATTCTTAGGGGTCAGAGTTTTATCAAGTTAAATTGCTCAAAATAAGTCAAGACTCACTGATTTTATGTTATTTAAATGTCCCTGTTAGTACAAATGCAAGGGCTGGGGATTTAGCTCAGTGGCACTATGCCTGCCTTATAAGTGCAAGGTCCTGATTTTGATCCCCGATACCCCCCCAAGAAAATTTGCTATCAAATGCTTTACTATTTTGTATATTGAGTGTGCTTAGAAAAAGAATACTTGCAGTTATTATTTGCAGAGGAAATCATTGCATGCATGATCAGTACTTAGATTTGTTAATAGAAGATGCATGCTTTTGATCCAGAGCTCATACTTGGTTGTCATGGATTCTATTAAGGGTTAATAGCATTAAATTTTCAGTCTTGGCTTCATTTACTTCCTACCATTGTACTTAATTGTGAATGCACTGAGGGGCTAGTACTTAAGGGAAAATGTAGCTATGCCTGCTTTTTTTTTTTTTTTTTTTTTTTTTTGGTTTTTTGAGACAGGGTCTCACTATGTGGTAAGACTGACTTGGAACTCACTATGTAGTCCACGCTGGTCTCGAACTCACAGTGATCCTCCTGCCTCAGCCTCCCGAGTGCTGGGATTACAGGCATGCGCCACCACGCCTGGCTCATTGCTTGTTTTTTAAAACATTTTATTATGGACATTTTCGAACATGCACACAAATAGATGAACCTCATTTGTGTATGGAATTTATGTGTCCATCAATCATCTTGAAGATTATCTGCATTCTGGGTTGTTTTTTTTTGCAGTACCAGGGATCAAACTCAGGACCTTGCACTTGCTAGACAGGCACAGGGCCACTGAGCTAATTCCCCTGCCCAACATTCCGTTGTTTTTGTTTCATCTATTCCTCCCACTTTTTTACCTTGCTTGAGTATTTTCAAGCAAATTCCACATAACACATCATTTCACTCATAAATAGTGTGTAATTTACCAGATAAGGACTGAAATGTCAAGCCATCACAATCAACAAAATCAAAAATAATTTCTTAATATCTAACAGTACATGTTTTTCTATTAGTAACCAAAAAATGTCTCTTACACACACATAGCTTGTCCAAATTATGATAAAAGAGGGTCAGGCACTCAGTGGATTTAACTCTCTTGAATCATTTCTTAAATTTCTTTTAATCTGTAAGAGAAGTTAAAGAACTGTTTTCTCTAAGTAATCAGCATTTTTCACATTTAAAACAATTTTATACTTCAGTGCAGAAAACGCATAAAAAGCAGCAAAGCACAAAGCAGAACACTATCTGCAGCTTCACCACTATAGGTGATCACTACTAGCATCTTGGACGTATGTTTACATTCTGTATTTAAAGAGACAAATCTCTAGATGGGGAAGCATTTGATAGCCAGTCTTGAACCTTCTGCTCCCTCCCCTGTGTGCAGAAGTGACATGAGTGAGAACTGACATGCCCACTGCAAGGATCGAGACAGGGAGGTTGGTGTGGGTGAGCTTTTGCTTGTTCATTGTTTGCCTCCACAACATCCCATTGTTACTGTCTGAATGGCTGTTAACCCACCACATAACTAACTACAGGTGCTATAGAAACCCTCAAATACAAACTTACCATGCGACCATTTGCATGTTCACCTCTAAAGCACTAAAGCACTTTAATATTATTATAAATTAAACAATGCTCTCTTGTGCTCTTTATGCTGTGCATTTGGACAGAGGTCAGAACTGCAGCAGGTAAGAGCGGTTGGTGTTTCGTCTAGATGAAATGCCAGTGGTTTTATCACAGGTGCTGCGTATAGAAAGCTTTGGTTCACTGATAGTGAGCTAGGAGGAAAACTGAAAATGATATTCCACTTGCAATTTTCTGAGGAAATTTGGAGTAATTCACACCAAGAGCTAAAGAGATACTGATGATACTTTTCTATACAGGGCAGAAGAAGAAAGGAAAATTGATTTGCCAGGCATACATACCATGGCAGTTTTCAGAGATGGTTTGTTGATTCTTTACATCAGTTGATGGTTCTTTACATAGCAGCTGAAATGACATACCTGTGCTCAAGCAGTGCTTTTGCCTTGGTGAAGTCAGATACCAGGAACATATTAAGCCTGTGAAGATAAAGGATTTATGAGTTCATGTGGAAAGACTATGTTAGGGACAAAGTGCTATTTTAAAAATAAAAGGATCCTTTTTAATTGGGTGTGCAAGATATTATTTTAGTTTTTCTTCTACGGAGTTGGAGAAGCCAAATGAACTAGATACGTTCTTCACATAATGACCGTGACTTCAGTCACACAAGATGTGTGAATATTGTATAATGTCTGGGAAGTGTAGCTGTGGCTTACGGATTTTTCCTCAAGTATTAATTTTTCAAAACTTTCTTTGAGCAGTGTGAATTCTACATTGTTTAAGTTTATATTTCTAGGTTACAGTATAATTGGAATGCTAATTAAAAGAACAGTTTTGAAAATCACATTTTTTCATGTGCAGTATCAGGCTCCAAGTTGAACAGTGAAAGTAACACAGGCTCAAACATTAGCATTTAACAACATGGCTTTTTTTTTTTTTTTTTGGTTTTTTTGAGACAGGGTCTCACTATGTAGTTGAGACTGACCTGGAACTCACTACGAAGCCCAGGCTAGTCTTGAACTCACAGTGATCCTCCTCCCTCAGCCTCCTGAGTGCTGAGATTACAGGCATGTGCCACCACACCTGGCTAACATGACTTAATTTATTTTATTTTCTTAAATTTTGAGACAGGGTTTCACGAAGTCACTAAGTTGCTCAGCCTGGGCTTGAATTTACAGTCCTCCTGTCTCAGCCTATCAGAGTGCTAAGATTACAGGCACGTGCCGCCATGCCAGGTTTAACATGGCTTAATTTTTTAGTTTCCTTTTCCCTAGGAATGACAATTAAGTGTTGGATCCTAGCTGCTCTCTCTGACAGGTGGATATTTTTAGACCTTTTGTAGACATTCGCTAAACATTTTTGATGGAACTAGCTTTTGGGAAATCTAATTGTGTTGCTAAGACACGCGCTGCTATTGTCTGTGTGAATGCCTGCCTGCAACACTAAGGCAGAGTGGGTAGGTTCCATGGGAGCTGCGAGTGTTCTGAAGCTAGGCCTCCTCGCTCTCTGCTGTGCGATTACCTGTTAGATCTAAGTGAGCATTTGTTACACCACCTACATGTCAGCTTTTAATTTTAAATATGGTCAGTTTTAAATGTCCAGTCAGAGAGACTTTAACACCAGTGCTCCATAAGCCATAACTACTTAACCAGTATTTCCTGTCAGGTCAGATCTAACTTGTCTACTCAGGTTTTGTAGCCAAGAATGAGCTCCACAGGGTATCAAAAGAAAAAAGCTTCATTATGTAAAGATAACTTATTGTGATACATATAACATTTAATTTTTGTTTTTAAGATCCAAGGAAACATTCTTGGCCAAAATCTAGGGGAAGTTACTGCCACTTTGTTCTGTACAAGGAAAACAAAGATACCATGGATGCTATTAATGTACTGTCTAAATATTTAAGGTTAGTCTCTTATTGTTTCTCTGTAAAATCAAAGCAACTGAAATGTGTTTTCTTCTGTCCATACAAATGGAAAAAAGGAGCAAGAACATGGATCCCAGTGATAGTTTTCTTAGACAATAGGTAAATTAATTTCCCCCCATGCCAGTAGTTGAAGATGAAAAATCTGGAAGTAAAAAATTCACATAGAATTAAGAGTTGCCAGTCCAGTCAGATTAAAGTAAAAAATTACCTTTCTCTCTAAAAGCCAGACTTTGATGTGGTTGCAAAGGTTGGCTGTATGGACTGGGTATTCTCACCTCCTGGTGGAGGCTAACTCCATGCATGGAGAACCTGTGAACGAAGTAGCACAAAGCACCCTCTGACTATGGGTCAAGTGCTGGCACGTTCTTGGTTTTGTTTTTTGAGTAGTAATAGCTGTTCGCATTGCATAGCAAATCTGTGTGCTTGGAAATTTAACTCAGTTTAAACCTGCAGCAATATATTCACTTGAAGCTAGGATAACCATAACAAAATGCCAAACTCCGTGGCTGTACCCACAAAAATCAATTTTCTCCCCATTCTGGAGGCTTCATGGTCCAAGACCAAGGTGTTAGCCTCCTTTCTAGAGGCCTCTCTCTGACTGGCAGATGACTGCCTTCTCCTTGGCTTCATGTCGTCATCCCTCTGTACCCCTCATATTTGTGTCTCCAGATTTCCTCCTCTAATAAGGATGCTGGTCAGGCTGGATTAGGGTTATTCAGTTAGCCACATTTTAACTTGATCACCTTTTCAAAGGCCCTATTTCCAAAAATGACCACATCCTGAGGTTCTGGGGGGTCAGGCTTCAACGTAGGAATTTGAGGGTACACAATTTAACCCTTAACACTTAGAACCGAATTACAAGACATTCTGTGTTCCTCTTATTTATGAGCTTCCTGGAAAGGGTACACGATACCCTGCCAGTTCTTTAAATCAAAACTTCAGATTTCAGTTTCAGCATTTAACTTTTTTGTGGGGGAGACAGGGTCTCACTGTGTATTTGAGACTGCTCTGGAACTCACTCTGTAGCCCAGGCTGGTCTTGAACTCACAGCGATCCTCCTGCCTCAGCCTCCCGAGTGCTGGGATTACAGGCATGCGCCACCACACCCATCTTGATATTTTTAATATAAAATGTTATTATATACTTCAGGAAAATTTATTGTTATTAACTTCTTGAAAATTGAAGATGCAAAATTTTTGAAGTGTGCTGTATTATTCTCTAGAATGATTTTTTTAAATTTTCTCTTTTATGTAGTCTCATGAATTCTTTGTAGTCCATGGATGTACATCAGTGCATCATTTACATTTCTGAGTAGCCTTGGCTTTGAATAGTCAAACACAGCTAAGAAGGGAGTTCAAGCATGTTTACTTTTCTAGTTTATATATTAGGAAACGTTTCTGTTTTCTTATTCTGTTACAGTATTATTTTAAGTGTATTTATTTCAAAACAAATTATGAGCAACATCTCTTTAAGGTATATTACTTCACATTGTTTTGTTTCTATCTTAACAGAGTCAAGCCAAACATATTCTCCTATATGGGAACCAAAGATAAAAGGGCTATAACAGTTCAAGAGATTGCTGTTCTCAAGTAAGTAGAGTATACACAACAAGTTTCGTACCACAGGCTGGAATGTAACTCATGAAGAGGGCTCCAGCAGCAGGTGTGGGGCCTTACATTAGTCTCCAGGGCAGAGAGAAAAAAATGGACTTGTATAGCAAATCCTAACACTATCTTTACAAGTTCTCAAGTTTATGTTTTGAAATTAATCTTCTAACTTTAGGTGGTGCTTCTTGCCATTTATGTATGTGTGTTTGGATGTCTGCATTTTGTTTGTGTTTTGAGACCAGGTATAACATATAATCCAGACAGATCTTGAACTTTTTGTGTAATTCATGCTGGCTTTGCTCATTCTTTTTTTTCTTTTTGTGATTTTTTTTTGAGACGGGGCTCACTATGTAGCCCAGGTTGGCCTCAAATTCATGATGATCCTCCTGCCTCAGCCTCCTGAGTGCTGGGATGGCCTTGTCTCAGCTTCCTGAATATTAGGATTACAGGCATGCACCATACCTAACAGCCTCTGCCTTTTTAAAAATATTATTTTTTGACCAGGTGTAGTGACACATAACTGTATTCCCAGCACTCAGGAGGCTGACACAGGCAGATCACCGTGAGTTCCAGGCCTACATAGTTCAGGGTCATCCTGAACCACATATCAGACTTGGTCTCAAAAAAACATTATTTTACTGTTTGTTTTTGTCTGCTTGTCTGTATTTCATAATGTCTTTGTATCAGATGTATGTTTTGTGTTGTTTTTGTTTTGTTTTGTTTGCTTTTGGTACCGGAATTGAACTCGGTACCTTGCACTTGTGAGATAGGTAGTGACACCACTGAGCTAAATTCCCAGCCCTGTTTTGGGTTGTTTTTGTAGAATTTTTATGATAGAGCCAAGAGTTCATAGTGCTTCCTTTTCTCTTTTGTTCACCCATTAGATGAAAAAGATAGTGTTTGCTTTTGAAGTAGTTGTTTAATGGGGCCTACAGTCAAGTACAACTTACCCCACAGTAAGGTAAATGCTGAGGTAAAGATACTTGGGCGAATCTGATAGCAAGTATGTGACTGAATGCAAAGGGCAAGCAAAGCTTTCACAGAAATGGGACGCTTCAATTTACTGAGGTTGGGCTTCTCAGTCTCTGTGCTGTGTACATTCTGGGATAGAGCTCTTTGTTGTGGCTGCCATGTAGATACGTAGCTGCTCCCTTGCTCTCTCTTCCTGCTCCTTGCTCACTCGTGGCAATAAAAATGCCTACAGACCTTGTCAGTTCACTCCAGGGGTCAGACCCACTCCCGCTGGAAATCTGGGCTGGATTCCAGCAGGTTGAGGAGGTGTTTCCTGGCCTGGGGAGAGAGGGAGCTGTTTGTTCCAAGCCAAGAAAGAAAATAGCTTATGAAAAGACGTCAGAAGGAGTTGGGGAGCACAGCACTTTTGGTACCTGGAGGGTACTTGAACTTTGAGTAAAGAAACCAGAAATGAGGCTGGGGGTGGGGGTTAGTCAGGACCCAGGTGCTCGGGGGGTCCTGTGGGGCACCTTGGGGATCTGGATCTTGGATTTGACTTTAAGCAGGGTTGTCATGTGTAGAGGCTGAATTAAGTGTTATGGGTGGAGTAAGGTGGGCAAACTGAACACCAGAGCTGTTGCCATAGTCTGGAGAAGAACGGGGCTCTAAACCCAGTTGTCATAGGGAGGTAAATAGGATGAATTTGGTAGCTGCATGGAGTTAGACATAAGCTTTCATTTTAATGCATTCCTTATCTTGAATGTGGTCCTGTTTTCTTGGGCTTATGCACAGGTCAAAACTTGCATGTTTTAAAGGAAGCACAGTGACCCACACCTGTAACCCCACCACTCAGCTTGAGAGTCTGAGGCAGGAAGATCTTGAGGTCAAGATTAGCCTGGGTTACATAGTGAGCAGCTGTCTCAAAAAAGCCAAAGTGAACTTGTACATTTTAAATATGTGCATGTTAGTATATGTCGGGTATAGAGCAGTTAAAAATAAACGTGTCTGTTTCTGTCTCCACAAAAAATAAATATATTTATTTGTAATATCTTTTCATAATGACTTTGAGGTGGCATTTCCTCTTTATCCCATAGTCCCCTACAATCTGGCTGTTCCTGACACTTCTCTGATTCATTTGAATAATGTAACAGTTCAGAGTTATATTGTATCCTAGTGGATTATTCCAGTCCTTTTCTTCCTTGGCCTGGGACCATGACACATAGTCCTGCAGCAAAGTGCGAGCCTTCTTCCATCCCTTTTTCCATGACGTGTTGCATGCTGGTGTGTTTGGAAGGAGTAGAGTTGGGTGAAGGTGATGGTGTCCTGCCTGGGGGGGTCTCTCCCTGTGATTCTTGGAATGTGGAGCTATCTGCTTGAGAGTGAGAGGTCTTACAAAGACTGTGTAACTGTTCATCTTGCCTGTCACCTTGACTGGCTTCAGGGATATGGGGTGACTGGATATGGGGAAACTGACCTCATCTTTGTTAACCCATTGGTGGGTTCAGAGCTAGATGGGCTCCTAGGAGCTGGGTCTTAGCTGGAAGAAAGGGGCCATGGGGCATGACCTTGGGGCCTATATCTGATCTCTGGCCTTCTCTGGTTCTTGCCCTGTTCTCTCCTTGACTGCCATGAGTTGAATGGCTTTGTTCCACCATGCTCTTCGAAGGCCTAGAAGCAGTGGAGCCAACCAGTCATTGGCTGCAGCCTCTGAATCTGTAAGCTGAAATAAACATCTCTTCCTTTAAATTTCCTCCATTTTAGCTGGGTGTGGTGGTGTACACCTATAACCCCAGCACTCCGGAGGCTGAGGCAGGAGGATTGCTGTGAGTTTGAGACCAGCCTGGCCTACATAGTGAGTTCCAGGTCAGTCTTAACTATAGTGAGACCCTGTCTCAAAAAAACAAACAAAAATAATTCCTCCATCCAAGGTATTCTGTTACAGTGACACAAAGCTGACTAATAAGACCATGGATTTGAAAGAGCTCCTGTGAGAAATGGCCAGTGGGCTCCCCAGAACCCCAGAAGCATGGGGAAGGGGAGACATTGGTTCAAGGGCTTCAGCTTTCCCAGACTCTGGGTATGGGACTCAAGGTTCTTGCCTCTCCTTGTCACGGTCATTGTTGTTATGATTATATTATTATTGTTATTTTGAGACAGGTTCTTGCTATGTAGTTCATACTGTCCTTAAACTCATTTTTGTAGCCCATTGCCTTCTCTTTAGTATCTAATTGTAGTCAAATCCTTGTTTTTCTAGCTGGCTAAATAAGAATTTCTACTAAAATTTAAAAGCAAGTTTTATATTTTATTCATAAAAATGCAAGACTAGGTATTGTGGCCCATGCCTGTAATCCCAGCTGGTTAGGAGGCTGAGGCAGGAAGATCACAAGTTTCAGACTACTTGGGTAAATTATCAAGACCCTATCTCAAAATCAAATTTTAAAGGGCTCAGTATTAGAGCACTTGCCTAGAGCCTAGGTTCAACCCCCAGGAATCCACACACAGATAAGCATTGCAGTGAAATTATTGACCACAAGGGAGTATGAAGTGCAAATGGGTTCTGATAGCCAAATCCTCTTGCCCTGAAGAAAGGTGGTACCAACTACCATCTTTAATATAGTTCCTCAGAATTCTCCCCAGCCCATTGTCAGAAAGAAAGAAAATCATTTGTTAGCTTGAGGTCAGAAAATAGCATCTTATTCCATTTTACAGTGTGAACTCTTTGAATATTGGAGGCTGGCCAGCAGGAGTCCTACTTGGTGAGGATACTGCTCTGCTCTCGAGGACGCTTACTGCTTTCTCATTTTCCTGTTGACTCTGAGAAACTGTGCTGGACACCTAAGTGCTGGCCTGTTGAAAGCACACAACACTTATCTCACGGATACAGGCTGTACCCTCGGCTTGCTGATTGGGTCCACAGAGCCAGGCCAACTGCCTTTCCTGTGAGAACGGGAATAGGACAAACCCACTCGGCCTTGCAAAGGTTTTCATGACTGCTGAGTTGATCAATCTGGGGATAAGCAGCAGTTCTTTCCAGCTTCTTGTAATCTGAAAGCCACCTAGAAATGCCAACAGGATCTCAAGGAGGAACAGTTTTATTCAGAAAGATTTGTTTCTTTTCCTGCCTGTTCCTGTCAGTCTCCTTCCTGAGCCTGGGCCAGTATTTCCTTGGCTTCCTTAAATAAAGGTTTTGCAGTATGTCAGTTCGGTTGGCTCCAAATGTTTCTGTAGTCATGTAAATTGTTGTGAATTTCCAACCAGAGAACTTGGTCTAGGATCATCAGAATTAACACTGAACAGTACTATGGAAATAGTTGTCAGCTCCATCCTGTATTTCTTCAGGGATCCCCTTGTCATCCAGAGCTAATGATGGGTCTGGGGTTTAGAAATGATGTGAGGTGGGATTTAGAAATGATGTCTGTTGTACGCTCAAGAAAGATGACATTCATAAGCCTCAAAAAACATTTCGGGTATAAAAGGTCGCATACGGTGTGAGTCCACATATGAAATGTCCAACATGAGGACCCTATAGACAGTAGGTAAATGGTTGCCAGGGGCTGCAGAGAGGGGATGGAGGCCCTAGGAGGGACTGGTGAGTTGCATGGGTTTCTTTTTTTGGTTTTGTTTTGAGACAGGGTCTCACTTTGTAGTTCCTGCTGGCTCTGAATTCACTATGTGCAGTGTAGGCTGGTCTTGAACTCACAGTAATTCTCCTGCCTCAGCCTCCCAAGTGCTGGGATTACAGACATGTGCCACTATACCCAGCAGCATGAGGTTTCTTTTTTAGGTGATATAAATGTTTTTGGCTGAGATGGTGATGACAGTTGCGCAACATTGTGAATATACTAAGAACCCTTGAAGTGTACATAATAGAGCGGTTAAATGATTGATTTCATGTCAGTTTTATCTCAAAAAAAGAAAACAGCTTTCAGGCGCTTCCCTGGCACTATCAGAAAGCAGTTACCAGAGTTTTTCCAGGATAACCTCATTGGTGACAGTTAGATTCCCTTTGCTCTGAATTAGTCTGTCAGTTCCTATAGCAGCATTTCCTAAGAGGAGTCCTGTCTTCCTGGCAGACCCATCTTCTGCTTTCTGGATCCTATAGTATATAATTCTAGATTAATTCATATTCTTGGTTCCCCCATAATCATACATGTTTTGGAACTCAAGGGTCTGGTGCCATTTTGCTCCTGGGCCTGATACCTCTCAACAGCTATGGACTGCACTTGCTCTACCTCCTTGAACTTCGGGATTCTAGCCAGGTCCTAGCCTGGAGTTGGACAGGGGACAGAGGGAAATGGAGTACAAGCTTTGCCCATTTCATGACTTCTGTTTAGCTTCTTACCTTGTAGTAGTTTTTGAGGCAAGACCAACCTGAACTACATAGCTATACTCTGACTCAAAAAACCCAGAACTAAAACAAATTAAAAAGTAAGCAAACAGGGCCGGGGATTTAGCTCAGTGGTGCCGCCACCTGCCTTGCAAGCACAAGGACCCGAGTTTGATCCCCGGTACCAAAAAAACAAACAAACAAAAAAAGTAAGCAAACAAACCCAGAACTATGAAAACAAAAGATCCTCACCTGTATGATGTTATTGGAGTACTTAATGAGTTTGAATATGGCTAGTGTAGGAGACAGTGCTGAATGCTATCTGGCTTCCTGAGGTGATCATTGCAGTTGCACAGCAGACTGTGCTTGTTCTTAGGAGATTCTGCAGTCTTTAGGCTAAAGTGCCCTGTGTCTGTGGCTCACTTCATTGGTTCAGTACACACATAGATCTGTATGTGTGTGTTTGTGTGTTGGGGTGGTAGCACAGATACACAGAGATATGTGCAAAAGAACTCTGGGAGGCTGGGAATGTAGCTCACCTACATTTCATTATTTGTGGATTGCTTTTCTCATAATTTTGAATTTTTTCAACCTCAAATTGGAAATCTTTTTAAATAACAGTAGTAAAATATAATTAAAGTAAACATAAAAATGGTAGATAGTATTTGCCAAATGTGTGATACAGGGTAATTTCCATAATGTGTAAACTAGGGCAGGGCACAGTGGCATATGCCTATAACCCCAGCTACATGGGAGGCTGAGAGGAGAATCACAAGTTCAAAGCTTACTTGGGCAACTTAGCAAGGCCCTATCTCAAATAGAATGAAAAAGGGGCTAGAGTCTGGCTTGTGGATGCTGGGTTCAATCCCTGTACTGTTTTAAAAATTAATTCAGTAGAACAGTAGGCAACAGGATGAATGGGTTGTCACCATCTATGGGTGAGTTTAAGCCCACTCATAAGAGACATGTGAATAAATGTCAAGATTCTACATATGTGGTATTTAAAATATGTGTATGTATCTTCTCTCCCCCAGTCCTCTCTGACAGAAGCTAGAACCTAGGGCCAAAACAGTGCTACCTCCCAAGCCCACCCCCTTTTTCTGAGACAGGGTTGCTGGCCTCAGATTTATAATCCTCCTACCTCAGTCTCTCATGCTGCTAGGAATAATAACAAAATAATAACAACAGTAACAATGTCAAGTAACAAGGTATATGCCATCCAGATTTAAGATACCAAATTTTAACAGACTGACAAAGCTCTAAAACATTTGTATTGGGTATGGTGGCACATGGCCATAATCCCAACATTTGGGAAGCTGGGACAGGAAGATCTCCCTGAGTTCAAGGCCAGCCTGAACTGCATAGCAAGATTGTCTCAAAAAAACTAAAAAAAAAAAAAAGATTCGTACTGCCTATCTTGTTAGTTTAAGGAGTGTAATCATGTATATTAAGCTGGGTATTATAAATAAAAGGGGTGAATTCAGCTCAAGACTCAGCACATACTGGTGGATGGCAGTGGCATCAAGTGGCTCTGAGAACTTTGTGGTAACTGGCAATGGTGGAACACATGCAAGATGGAGAAAGCAGGCACATGCCAGATACTGAGCCAGTGCAGGCTGGAGGTCAGCCACTCACCACAGCTCACCCTCAGGGTTGCTGCCTCAGAGCCCAGGAATCAGCCTCTGTCCCTTCTAGAGACTCACTCTGCTTCCCAACATGGCACCCTGAGGACCAACCTTCCAGTCTGGGCACATTGGGGCCATCCTGAGCCATATTCAACTTAACAAGGATATTGGCCCTAGGGTGAGGCATAGGTCACCTACCTGGGTGTTAATGTTTGGGCATAAATTGGTGTAACCTCACTGGATGGAGAGAAGAGTTAAAACTAAATCCATGCCCTTCTTCTAGGGGTTTATCCTAAATGTACACCTGGAAAAGTGAGCAAAGAAATGTATAAGGATATTTGTTAGAGAATTGTTTGTAAATAGCATAAGATTGGTGGCAGTTTATATATCCATTAAGGGAGATAGATTGGCCAGGCATGGTGGTGCACTCCTGTAGTCACTCTTGCAGTCTAGGCAGGAGAATCACAAGTTCAAGACTGGCCTGGGCAGCTTAGCATGACTGTGTCAGAAGAAAAAAAAAATTTAAAGGCTGGAGACAGAGCTGTGGTGTGTCACTTGCCTAGCATGGGGGAGCATCTGGTTCAATCCTCAGGACTGTGAAACAAAAACAGAGGAGATGGATCAGATAAAGGATGGTACATCCATGCCATGTACAGCCATTTTGTGCCACTGTACCAAGGAGAAGCCATTTCCAAAGTACTGTGTAGATAAGGCAGATCTCTAAGCGTGTGTGGTGGGGGGCACGAAGGATTGAACCCAGGGCTTGCTCACTGAGCTACATCCCACCTGTTAACTTTTTTTGAGACAGAGAGTCTCACTACGTTTCTTAAGTGGCCCTGGCAGATTCAAACTTGGAATCTTCTTGCCTCAGCCTCCCAGCGTGCTGGGATTACAGAAATGTGCCATCGTGCCTAACATCTAGAAGGTATTCTTTAAATAACTAAAGCAAAGGTGTTAAACAATTTATAATGTGGCAGAATTTGTTTTTTTTTTTTCTTTTTTAAATTTAGGTGTCTCTTTTTTTGGTACTGGGGATCGAACTCGGGATCTTGCACTTACAAGGCAGGTGGCAGAACCACTGTGCTAAATCCCTGGCCCAGAATTTGCTTTTTTAAAAAAGAAGACCTGGTTGCTTAAGTGGTTGAGTTCACCTTAATGACATTCATAAGTTGAACATTTATGAATTGTGTATTTTTCTGTATATATAACACACAAGGCTTATCAAGAATTAAGAGGGAGGAGACACGTTTCTTTATGTGGAAAGTGTGGAAGGGATAAACAAACTTTTGTTATTAGCTGTAAGAGGGGAGAACATAGGTGTGGAGAGGGGAAGGGTTTTCAGTGTGGTGTCTTTTTCTACATAGATTTTGTATTGAAAAAGGTAAGGCATCTTTGAACATTTTGTAATGCCATAGGAAGTGAAAGCAGCTGGATACAGATTTGTGGGAGGATTCCAGATATATATGTGTTTATAAAAAAGAATGGGAGGAAATGGAGTTAGATTTCAGATTTTCTCTTAAAGGGATGAACCCATGAATTTTTCTGTACATTTTGTATTTTCCAAGTTTTCTATTATAATATTTTTCTGATAGATGAAACTATGACTAACCCTTTTCTTTTCTTTCTTTCTTTCTTTCTTTTTTTTTTTTTTTCCTGGTACCAGGATCAAACTCAGGCCTTTGCACTTGCGAGGCAGGTGCCGGAACCACTGAGCTAAACCCCTGTCCCTGACTAACCCTTTTCTTAATGCTTGATATCCTTTCTTTTATGTGAGATTATTCTCTGCCACCATTTCTTTTCTCGCCCAAGAAAGAAAATTCCACAGATACTGTTCATAGTTTTGTTATCCTTTAGTGCTAAAATAACAAGGGTATTTGAAGATGTGAAGTGGGGCACGGTGCAGGCCACAACATCCCAGTCAAACCAGGCACCACTGTCCTGTGCCAGGGAACACTGGGGGACAGGAAGTGTGCAGTGTGCCCCACCTTCCACGATGCCTGCCTCTTCCAGCTGCGGCACCGCTATGCGCAGCTACGCTCTCTGCAGAAAGGTGTCCTAGATCTTCTCAGACAGTATCTCATGATCCTCTCTTTGCTCTTTTTATCTTTTAAAAGAATATCTGCACAGAGACTTGCTCACCTGAATAAGTGCTTGATGAACTTTAAGCTAGGAAATTTCAGCTATCAGAAAAATCCTCTGAAATTGGGAGAGCTCCAAGGAAATCACTTCACTGTCATTCTCAGGTAAGGAATCACAGGTGGGAATATAGAACCTGAGGGTGTCTAGCATCGTAATGAGTTACTAATCAGGTGCAGGTTAGCAGGAAGGCAGAGTAGGTCCAAAACAGCTGAGAGGGCAAATACAGCTGTAGTGTACACTGACCAGCACTTCCTGCCCCACTAAAAACCAGAAAAACACCGTCTTCAAACACTGTGTCGAGAGAAAGAGCACCTGTGATTACATGAGCCACCTGAAATAGGTAAACTCACAGGAAGTGGAGTGGAGGTTACTGGGGGCAGGGAGCAGTGGGTGTAGAGTTTAAGTTTGAGAAATTGTGTAACTTCAGGGAGCAGAGAGTAGAGAAGGTTGCACAACATTATGAATATGCCCCTGGATTATATACTTTAAAATGTCTGAAATGGCAGGTTTATTGGCATATAACAAATAAAGAGCCCTCAGGTGGTTGAGAGAAAACTTTCCAGGAAAGGCATGGAAGCCATTCCATAGCCCCTTGGATGTACATCCCCAAATATGTATGGCTGTAATTTTTTTTTTCTGGATAATTTGGATGCCTGCAGAAATATAACAGGAACTGATGACCAAGTCCAACAAGCTATGAACTCTCTCAAGCAGATTGGATTTATTAACTACTATGGAATGCAAAGATTTGGAACAACAGCCGTCCCTACATACCAAGTTGGAAGGTTGGTATTTAATTTCATAAAGTATTTCTAGATTCTTTCTTGTTCAGAACAAGTGAACCACTGATCCATAGCTTCTTAATTTTCTTTCTATTTTAAGATAACCCATGTACAAAGTAGAAATCAAGAGTTCAAAAGGGTATAAGTTTTCTCCCATCCTTGGTGTAACCCCTGTAGGGTTTTGTTTTTATTTTTTAACACATAAGTGGGCTGAGGAAGTGGGTAACTCAGACCCAGAGTAGCTAGATGGAGACTACTTTACAGTCTGCTAACAAATGATTCCTGGTTATTAAACTTTGATCTATTCTTCCTCTACACTTTCAAGAAAATGGTAGAGGATACAATCAGTGAAGTGGAATTTAATTTCAGTACTCTGATTCACTTTCAGATATAGAAGTCCGTCTAGGTTAAAGTAGATTGGCAGTCTCAAGCATCAATACCTGAACATAAAGCCCAACAGAGATGTGTTTTGTGAGTCATTCCTGTGAGTTAGAAAGGTGGAAGCTACTGTTAGACACAATCCTTCCCTGTGTTTCAGGCCTTCATTTTAGCAAGGTGGAAATAAAGCTTAGGAGGTCTGTCCAAGCTCACTGGTTGATCAACTAGAGTTCTGGGAATAAAGTCTCATTGACTTGCAGTTCATTTTCTTCAGCTAACTATATGAACTTGAATTTACTTTTGTGGTACTAGAAACACAAAATGGTAAATTCTGTCATGTGTTTTCTCTGTCTCTTGACAGTGGTCCTGTGAAGGATAAAAGTCCAGGCAGGAAGACCAGACTTGAATTCTCAGCCTTAAATTACTCAAATTAATAAAGATTTATTACTTAAATTGAAATACTACCAACTTAACAAGTTGGTGAAAGGGAAGTGATATTGGGGCTTATGCAGCGCCTGTTGCTATTTCTAACATATAGTAAGTGCTCAAATAAATGGAAAATAATACTGTAAAATTAAAGCTTTGTGCACATAATAGTCCCAGCTACTCTGGAAATGAGGCAAGAAGATCACTTGAGCCAAGGAGTTTTGTGCCAGATGAGCAACATAGATACTGTATCTTAAATTGTAAATAGATACATACATAACATATATTAGCCAAAGGAAAAGAGTTGTCGAGACGATATTTACAGTAACTAATAATAATAGAAAAATACATTCAGCTGTTCTGATGATAACACATGAATAAAATAATAACATAATTATCTCATGGGACAGTATTTAAGGGAAGGTTGTATCAACTTGAATAAGTAATTTGGCAGAATAGCAGTAATGTCCTGTAATTTTTGTACTCCAAGGATAATTGAGGTAGGCTAGGCATTGTGATGCTTATTCTGTAATCCCAGCTATTTTGGAGGCTGGGCAGGAGAATCGTAAATTCAGAGCAGGCCTGAGCAATATATTGAGATGCTGTCTCAAAGCAAAATTAATTAATTACTTTATTTATTTATTTATTTTTGGTACTGAGGATTGAACTCTGGACCATTGCACTTGCAAGGCAGGTGGCAGCACCACTGAGCTAAATCCCCGGCCCTCAAAGCAAAATTTAAAATGTTCTAGGGGTATAGCTTTATGGCAGAGCACTTGACTGGCATTTGTGAGGCCCTGAATTCCATTCCAGGTACCACCACCACCAAAAAAAAAAAGCTAATGATGTAAATAGCTAATTAAAATGGTTCTACAATTTTTTTTTTTTCCAGGAACAAAAGCTGTATAACTTGACCAAAGGTCAGTAATCAGTTCAAAATGCAAAACATACATTCCCAGAACATACTATTTCCTATTTTCAAGGAAGTCCACTCAGTCACTATAGGACCTCCTGAGGGAAAGAATGAAAGTCTTAAAGAAGACTTGGGCATAGTGGTGTGCGCCTGTGATCTCGGCGCTTGGGAGGCTTAGGCAAGAGGATTGCAAGTTCAAGTCTGGACTAAGCAATTTAGGGACTTAGACCTTCTTTAAAAGAAAAAGATGGTGGGCTGGAGGATGTAGCTCAGACCTGGGTTCAGTCCCCATTATGGCAAAATAAAAAGAAAAATAACTTGAATGCAAAATATATAAAGATCTCTTATGCTCAACAATAAAAAGATAACCTATTCTAAACCTGGGCACAGAATATAGATAAATGGCCAGAAAGCACACAAAAAGTTGCTCAGCATTACAGGTCATTGCAGAATTGCAAGTCCACCACAGTGAGAGGCTGCCTTGTGCCGCTGTGGTGGCTAAAGTCACAAAACAGGTGATGGCAAAGGTCTGGAGAAACTGGAACTAGTAGCAGGAGGAATGTGAGATGGTGCCACCGTTTTAGCAAATGGCCTAGTAGTTCCTTAAAAGGTTAGGTATGGAGTTACCACCTGACCTAGAAATTGCATTCCTAGCTATACACTGAAAGTACCGAAAATGTTACATTGACATAGAAACTCACCCTCAGCATCTAAAAAGTAGAAACAACCCAAGCCTGTCAACTAATGAATGGATAAACAAACTATGGTATATACAGAAAGGAATGACATTCCCTTTGTGTGCAAAAGCATTAACTGAAAGCCAGTCAGAAAAGCCTACACTGTGTATGATTCTTTGGGATGAAAGGTCCCAAATAAGCAAGTCTTTAGAAACAGGGCCATGGCAGTGTGTCAGTAGTGTGGCTGCTAATGGGATAGGATATTCTCTTAGTATAGCCTGTAATCCCAGCTGCTTGGGAAACTGAGGCAGGATGATGGCAAGTTCAAAAATTCTAGATCCAGTTGTGATAGCAAACACTTGTAATCCCAGCATTCAGGAGGCTGAGGCAGGAGGATCACCACAAGTTTTAGGCTAGCCTAGGCTACATATGAGATGTCTCAAAACAAACCAAAGCACTTATAAAATTGTGTGAGTCTTGTGTGACAGTTTCACCAGGCATGGTGGTACATGCATGTAAGCCTATCACTCAGGAGTCTGAGACAGGAGGATTGCCATGAGTTTGAGGCTAGCCTGGGCTCCATAGTTCAGGGACAGCCTGAACCACATAGTGAGACCTTGTCTCAAACATAAAATTGTATGACAATTTTAGGACAGCTCTGTGAACATAGCAAAAGCCATTCAATTGTACACTTAAGTGGGTGAATTATATGATGTGTAAAGTATATCTCAATAAAAATATTTTAAGAAAAGGCAGAATAAACCCTCATGTTCCTGGTTAAATGATTATTCACCAAGGACAAAAGAAGCTTTTCATATAGTGCTGGGAAAACTGAATCCTACATATAAAAAATTGAACTAGGGGCTGGGGATTAGCTCAGTGGTGCTGCCACCTGCCTTGCAAACACATGTTCCCAAGTTTGATCCCTGGTACCAAAAAGGTGAAGCTGACCCTTATCTTAAACCATTTATCAAAATATCAAAATGGATCAAAGAGCTAAACATAAAAGCTACAAATATTAACACTCTTAGAAGAAAGCATAGGGGAGAACTTTATGATTTTAGAGTTGCTTGTAGTTTCTTGGCTGATACCAAATACACAGGCATAAAAACAGAAGAAAACAGCTAAAAGTTGGACTTGTCAAAGTTTTGAACATTTGTGTGTCAAGGGATATTGTCAGCAGAATGGGAAGGCAGGCAGCTCAGAGAGTGGATTAAGATGTTTGCAACACACCTGTAATCCCAATTACTCGGGAGGCTGAGGCAGGAGCATTAAAAATTCAAGGTCAGCCTCGGCAATTTTAGTTTTTCTGTTTTGTGTGTGTGTGAATCATGTGTTTGATAAGAGACTTGTATCTAGAATATGAAAAGAACTACAAATTCACCAAGTGCCAAAAAAACAAAAAAATTGTGGAAATGGGCAAAGGACTTGAGTAGACATTTCTCCAGAGATTCATCAATGGCCAGCCAACACATGAAAAGACACGTGCCACCACTAGGCCTTAGGGACACGCTGTGTCGCCAAGTAAATGTTGGTGAGGACGTGTTGCAGTTGGGGCCCTTGCACAGCCTGTGGGGATGTGAAATGCTGTAGCCATTACTGAAGCCAGCGTAGTACCTCCTCAGAAAACTAAACGAAGCAATGAATGTTACGGTAATGTGACCCAGAATTCTACTTCTAGGCAAATACCCCAAAGAAAGGAAAGCAGGAACAAACAGTTATGTGTGTACTCATGTTTGTGATATTATGTGAATAATGCCACTATTCACAGCGAAAGGTAGGACCCAAATGCCCACGAACAGATGTGTAAATAAAATATAGTATATATAAGTAGTAAAATATAATCCAGCCTTTAAAGGAAGGAGTTTTTAGCTGAGCATGGTGGCACATGCCTATAGTCCCAGCACTCTGGAGATGGAGGCAGGAGGATCACTGTGTGTTCAAGGCCAGCCCGAACTACATAGCTCGACCTTGTTTCAAAAACAAAAAAGAATTTTTATAGATGCTATGGTATGGATATACCTTGAAGCTAACTGGAAATCAGCCAGTCACAAGGATAGTGTGCAGTTCCCCGTATAGGAGGTTCCAAGAGAAGCCGGTTGTAGAAAGAAGGGCTGCTGGCAGGGAGTTATTGTCTGAAGGTAACCAGTTTCAGTTAGGAAGATAAATTCTGGACATGATGGTGCTGATGCTTGCACAGCAACACGTAGACAATCTGATGGAGCCGAGTATTTCGAAGTTGATAAAATAGGGGCTGGGGATTTAGCTCAGTGGCCCTGTGCCTTCCTACCAAGTGCAAGGTCCTGAGATCAATCCCCAGTACTGAAAAAAAATTTTTTATGAAAACTTGCTACAATAATGAATTTTGGGGCTGGGGATTTAGCTCCATGGTTCTGCTGCCTGCCTTGCAAGCACAAGGTCCTGAGTTTGGTCCCCAGTACCAAAAGAATAAAATAATGAATTTTATGTATGTTTTACTATAGTAAGATAAGGTGGGAGAAGGGAAGATAAAATAAGTAAAGTACAAAGCCTCTTGCTTTGTAGTGTGTTATAGGATGGACTATTGTGGGCCCACATATATGTATTATGACACTGGGTGCCGAGCCTTC